AAGAAACTATAGTAAATCATATGTATTTTGTTTTGACGTGTTCCCGAAATGACGTCACGCCGGCCGCGCTAAAAGCATTCTCGCCCCAGTTCTTTTATGCTAACGGTAACACGAAAAATTGCCAACTTCAAGCGCCAAAAAGTCCATGAAGATCAAATTTTCGAATTATGAAATATATTACAAAAACTCTTAGAATAACCTAAATAATCGAAATACAGCAATGGATGATTCCAGCTGTAGACTAAATTTTGATATATCTAGGCAAGAAGAGCAAAATTCATCACCACAGCTAGAAAGAGCATGTTAAAATTAGTAAAATTGCAAAGTTTGCTTGCGAAATGGTGTAAAATGAGGAAAATATAGCTCTGCGAAATTTGCAAATTTTGTATTAATTTGTATTGCGCACGGGAAAACGCACCACTTTCGGTCCAAATGTAGTGCATTTTCCCGCGCGTAATATACAAATTAATATAAAATTTGCACTTTTCGCAGGGCTATATCGCGGCAAAACTTTGCAATTTTACTAATTTCAACATGCTGTTTCTAGCTGTGGTGATGGATTTTGTTCTTCTTGCCTAGATCAAAATTTAGTCTATAGCTGGAATAGCCTATTCCCTGACTATGACATATTAGGCACTTTAAGTACATCAAAACATATTGGAAAATGTCATTTTCACTGAATTTGCAGTATAGTATAGTCCACAACTAAAGTGTTTACTGTTAACTCTTGTTATTTTGAAAGGCTATCTGTTCGTGTCGTCCAGTCGTCCAGAGCTGGTATGGGGAAAAGTTTGATAGTAAAGCATTTGGCAGAACAATTGACTAACCTTCCAAATAACAAAAAGCTTCGCAAAGGTTTAATGTCTTCGTTATGTCCTACTATTCCTGTACATGGGATCTATGTGGATAGTGATCGTGTTACCCATACTCTTCTTTCCCATGCTGTCAAGAGAGATATTCCTGTTTCAAGGATTTTTCATCTGGACATGTCTCAGTCGGTTAGTAGTTGTGTCATCGAATTGACGTCTGTATATCTCACATCAGTATTGAAAAATGCCATATAATTATATGGTAATACTAAAGTGGCGATGTCGCGTTAGTTATTGAATATTGGCGATATACACTTAACTTGTAGTTAAAACACCAAATTAACAGTTTTAATTAAATACACAAAAAATTCGTATTCTAGCATTTTGCACAATAGTTTTAAATCAGTACGATGCTTTGACCTTAAACCGGATTGATTTACTGCCATCGCATTGACTAAAACGGAATTATAGTTCCCTATAGGTTTTTAAATTGAACTGGATAAATTTACTGCCATCGCATTGAAGACTAAAACCTGATTATAGCTCCCTGCATGTAGTTTTTGTTGCATGCCCATACATGGGCATGCAACTTTCATATAGCTCTAAATTTCGTGTCGCGGTGTGCGTACGGGCGGTGGTAAATCACGTGGTAGATTCGTAAAATACGACAAGTACCGAGATTTTCCGACAATTGTTTACGAGAATGATCATGTGATGTGAGTCACTCAACGTTTTCGTCGAGCAAACGCAAGGAAAGTTTTTAGTATATTTAATATACTGTAATTGTTCGCCGAAAATTCTTCGAAGACTTAGATCGAGGTAGGTAAAGCTTTGCTGTTTTTAATTTACTTTCTATTCTCTTATTTGTGATTTTGGAGCCGTTGTGCTCGCACTGATTATTTATCAGGCTTCAAAATATACTCAAATTGAAACGGAGCCGTAGTGCTCGCACTGATTATTTATCAGGGCGCTATTAGCGTGAAAGGCCACGCTCTCAAACAACTCAAATTGAAACGGAGCCATTGTGCTCGCACTGATTATTTATCAGGGCGATATTAGCGTGAAAGGCCACGCTCTCAAACAACTCAAATTGAAACGGAGCCATTGTGCTCGCACTGATTATTTATCAGGGCGCTATTAGCGTGAAAGGCCACGCTCTCAAATTGAACCTTGCCATTGTGCAGGTAAAAATTGAACCTTGCCATTGTGCAGGTAAAAAGCAGCCCATTGCCATTGTGCTGGGATTATTGAGACTTTGCCATTGTGCAATTGTAAAAGAATTACAAATACAAACTTTCAAAGACAAATACTGAAAGTACAGTACACTACTACACTACTTATTGACAATTACTGCTGTGTAAACAAAAGTATTTTATTTCAAACAGTGAGAATATAGAAATATGGGTGTGTCAATTGAGATATACAGAATAAGAATTGGTTCACATAACAACTTTGTGCAAGGAAGACAGTCCATGAATCAAATGAAAGGTAAATTTTGGAATCATATGTTAGTAATGTTCTACTTAGAAATATTTTATTTACCATGCTTGAAAAATCTAGTTACAAAGATTGAAAGTAATAATGAAGTTTGCATGTGGTATACACAGATGGTATCTTATCATGTTTACGTACCATTGCTATTGAGGCTTGCAAATGATGTGGAGGAAAACCCAGGCCCAATTAATATCTATGATATTGTTGATCATAGTTTTACGGTTCGAGCAGACTTCAACCAAGGTAATATATCCATGTTTGGCATAAATGCTGGAAAACAATGTGTTGCCATGTCAATTTATGCTATTGTATACAATGAAATAAAATCTGTTAATATTTGGGATACACAAATGATGAACATGCTTCTCATTAATGCAAACAATCTTTACGCCATAATTAGTCAGCATATTCAGAAAGATTTCTTATTGCTCACTGATGTTCCTGAAATATTGTCTATCAACAATGATACTTTTAATTTGGAGTACAGTGACTCTTTTTCTGGAGCTTTATGGATGGCTCGCAACAATGAACCGTATGTTACACTTGAACATGCCTTTCATGAAGTATTTGATACTGGTAATTATAAAGCATGCCTACTTACTATTCAAGCAAACACTGTTGCAGTTTTAATGCCTTTCCCAGATGTATTCAAAGTTTTTGATTCTCATTCACGAGATATGCATGGAATGCCAGCAGCAATGGGTTATAGTGTTTTAGTTTCTATTGAAGGAATTCAAAACCTTGTACATTTTTTTCATAGTTGTAACTATCCTGGACAAAATAGTCTATTTGAATTAAAGGGTGTTACATGTCATAGAAACATTTCATTGTCAAATAGTTTGGATAACGCAGCTAATGACACAACATCAAATAACCATGAACAACAAAGAAAACAACAAGAGTCTGTTGTAGAAAAAGAAAATGGACTAATTGCGAAGCGAAAGGAAAAAAGACAACAAGAGTCTGTTGTAGAGAGGGAAAACAGACTTGCAAAGCAAAGAGAGAAAAGAAAACAGGCAAAACAACAAGAAACTGTTTTAGAGAGGGAAAATAGACTTGCAAATCGAAGAGAGAAAAAAAAACAAGCAAAACAACAAGAACCGGTTGTAGAAAGAGAAAACAGACTTGCAAAGCTAAGAGAGAAGCAAAGAGAGAAAAGACAGCAAGAAACTGTTTCAGAGAGGGAAAATAGACTTGCAAAGCAAAGAGAGAAAAGAAAACAGGCAAAACAACAAGAAACTGTTTCAGAGAGGGAAAGTAGGCTTCAAAACCAGCGAAAAGCAAGAAGGTTGAAAAGGCAAAATGAAACTGTTGAACAAAAAGAGCAAAGATTAGCAAAAGTAAGAGCTAATTATAAGGAAAATAAAAGTAGACGTTCTGAAGAAAACAAACAATGTCCTCTATCAAGTTCTCAAGGGCATCTCAATAATGATAACAGTGTATCACATAATAGTGTATCACAATTGATACATAAATTCCATAAATCTGTATCAACAGGTCCTCTGTATATATGTTCATGCTGTGATCAATTATGGTATAAACATAGTGTTTGTCCAGCCGACAGACTTCGATTATCCAATCCTAATTCTACTAAACATTTACAAGGCATTAAAAGTGTGGATAATATTGAATGGCTGTGTTTGACATGTGACAAACATCTTAAAAAGGGTAAAGTGCCACCTTCTGCAATTACAAATGGCATGAAGTTTCCAACAAAACCTGACTTCTTTGATTTAAATGAATTAGAATGCAGGCTTATAGCTCCAAGATTGGCATTTCAAAAAATAATGCAAGCTCCGAGAGGACGGCAACTTAAAATTACTGGTAATGTTGTGAATGTACCAGCAGACATATGTAATACCGTTAACATGCTACCCAGGTTACCACAAGATACTGGGACTATTAAAGTTCAATTAAAACGTCGACTGCAATATAAGAGTTCTGCCTTGTCTTTGAATGTAAGACCGAACAAAGTGATGCAAGCTGCAGCTTGGTTGGTAAATACTAGTGAACTATATCGAGAACAAGGAATAACTTTTGATCAGCATTGGTTATCGTACTTTGATGTTACAACACCTAGTGACAATGAAAATACTACAGTTGATCAAAGTAATTCGACATCTTCAGAAGATGAATGGAGTGAAGATGAATGGAGTGAAGACGAAGCAGAAATTCCTGCAGGTGTAACAGACAGTATGCTTACACCTACTGATTTTGTAGACGATACTGAAAGACAACATATATACAATGTTGCACCTGGTGAAGGTAGTAGACCACTTAGTATATTTAGAGATCAGTATTCAGAGGAACTAGCTTATCCGGGAATATTCCTAGGTCAAAGGCGACCAGATGAGAAGCAAAGATTGACTCGTGTTTACTACAGTGAAATATGCAAATCTGAACTAAGACGGTCTGATAGAAGAGCTGCAATGTGTATTGAGAACATATTTTTTAAAACTAAAAAAATGCAGATGAAATTATTGCTAGGGCAATCTCAACTTGCTATTCGCAAGTGTAAAATGGGAAACAGAACACTTACTGCTGGTGAGTTAAAAACACCGGAAGGTTTAACAAATCTCATTTGCCATGATGAAGGATACAAATTTTTAAGAGCTTTGAGAGGTTCCCCACCTTATTTTGAAAAAGCCAAAAAAGATTTGTTTGCTATGATTCGGCAGTTAGGACCTGCATCATTATTTTGTAGTTTTTCATCTGCTGAAACAAAATGGAATCATTTACTAAGAATCCTTGGTAAGCTTGTTGATCACAAAGATTATAGTGATGAAGAATTAGATCATTTAAATTGGGATGAAAAATGTAGACTAAAGCCGCGTTCACACCAGCGGCCCAGGCCTGGCCTGGACCTGGCCTTGACCTGGCCTGGGCCAATTGTGACGCATTCACACTGGCTTGACGCCCAACTCCAGGCCAAAGCAATCAGGCGTCAATATAAACGTCCTTGTGTTCCACTAAAGTATTTAATTTCGCGTTTTGAATGTTTTTCCCTCCAATTGTATGACAATCATCTGACCAGTTTTTATCGTGGGCAGATATTGCGATGGTAACGGGGCCTCGCCCAGGCCAGGCTCAGGAAAAACCCGTTCACACCAGTGATGATCGAGGCGCAGGCCAGGCCAAGGCCAGGTCCAGGCCACCTACATTTGCTGGCCTGGATTTCTTGACTTAGGCCAGGCCTAGGCCAGGCTCAGGCCAGGTAAAACCCGTTCACACCTAGACCCAGGCCAGGTCCAGGCCAGGCCTGGGCCGCTAGTGTGAACGCGGCTTAATTCAAAGTGACCCAGTAACTTGTGCAAGGCATTTTGGTTACCAATTTAATGCTTTCTTAAAATATTTTTTAATGAGTGAAATTGCCCCATTAGGGAAACTAAAAGATTGGTTTTACAGGGTTGAATACCAACAGAGAGGCTCGCCTCACATCCATATGCTCATATGGCTTGAAAATGCACCTGTATTTGGTGTTGATAAAGATGAAGATGTAATTAATTTCATTGACCAAAGCCTGATAATGACAGAGAGCCTGATAATGACACTGAATTATTTGATCTTGTAAACAGACAAACTCATAGACATTCTCACACACGCCGAAAAAACTCCAAAAAACTTTGTAGATTTAATTATCCTCAGCCACCCATGAGATCAACACAGATACTTCATCCACTTGATGACAATGCTTCTGACACTACCATAAGAGCCAGAAAAGAGTTGTGGAAAAATATTAAGAATAAACTAAATGATTTAAAAGAGGGAGAAGATGTAACATTTGATCAACTTCTGAAAGAACTACATGTTTCCAAATATCAATATATTCTTGCGATTCGATCATCACTAAATTGTCCAACAATATTTCTAAAAAAAGAAGTCCCAATGAATTAAGGATTAATAATTATAATCCTGCTTGCCTTCAAGCATGGAGAGCTAACATGGACATTCAATTTGTACTGGATGTATATGCCTGTGCAATGTATATTGTTTCCTATATTTCTAAGGCTCAAAAAGGAATGAGTGACTTGTTACGTAACGCATGTGCTGAAGCTAAGGAAGGTAATTCCACCATCAAACAACAGGTTCGTGACATTGGCAACAAGTTTTTAAACTCTTAAAGTGCACAAGAAGCTGTGTACATTATTCTGCAACTTCCCATGAGAAAATCTTCTCGAAATGTTGTATTCATTAACACATCTCCTCCAAGTGATCGTGTTGAACTGTTGAAACCTCTCAGTGAGATTGAGAAGATGTCAGACGAGTCTGAAGAAATTCACTCTGGTGGACTTCTGAAACGATATGTAGAACGACCAGACAGTTTAAATTTAATTACATTAACTGACTGGGCAGCATGGTACGACTCATCTGGGCTGACCAAATATAAGAAATCTGTTAAAACATCAGATATTGACAACCTTCCTTTGGAAGATGAAAATAATGATGATGACCTAGGTGTTCAAAACACTGAATGTTGTGTTTCATCTAAAAAGTCGATCAAAAAAAGATCACATGCAAGAATTATCCGCAGTGTTTGGTTTAACAAAGAATCTCAACCAGAAAAACATTATGGTGAGTTGATCATGCTTTTCACTCCATGGCGAAATGAACAGGCTGATTTAATGGGAGCTTACTCTTCCTTTCAAGAACATTACGAAGCTCGTCGTGATGAGATCAATGAACAAATGGAACAATACGCGGTTTGTAGTGAAGACTTAAATGAAATTCAACATCACTTGAATGTGATGATGATGTGTACGACACAATAGCACCAGTTACACAAGACAGTGAACGTCGGGATGAGAACGAAGGTAATACAGATACACATCCAGATTTAAATGAAACATATGATGTTTCTGAAGACTTGGGTATCCCGTCAAGGCTACCTAATAATGAACCACTTATTTTAAATGAAATGGAAGATATTGAATACCGACGTTTGGTGCAAATGGTAAACAAGAAACAAAGGGAATTTTTTATCATGCTTTACATTTAATGAAGATATCTGATAATCCATTTTATGCTTTTTTAAGTGGAAGTGGAGGGGTTGGTAAATCTCACTTGATTAAGTCAATTTATCAGGCTGCTTTAAAGCACTATAACAAACGAGCTGGCGAAGACTTTCGTCGCGTTCAAGTATTATTGCTTGCTCCAACAGGAAAAGCAGCTTATCTAATTAAAGGAAACACAATCCATAGTGCCTTATCAATTCCAGCGAGCCAATCGCTTAAAATTTATAAACCACTCAACTCTGGTAGGTTGAACACTTTACGATGTGAGCTGGGTGCATTAAAGTTGATATTACTTGATGAAATATCAATGGTTGGAAACAGAATGTTTACAGTTCAGTTAAATAACCGTTTAAAAGATTTAAAAGGAAGCAAAGACGACTTTGGTGGTGTTAGCAGTTAGCATCATCACAATCGGTGACTTATTTCAACTTAAACCTGTCATGGATGACTACATTTTCACTGATCTCCAGTCTTTAAACTATTATAGTGTTCTTGCTCCAAATTTATGGAAAAAAATATTTTAGAATGTTTGAACTTGATGAGATTATGCGACAAAGAGAAAGTAAAATGTTTGCTGAAATCTTAAACAGGTTACGAGAAGGTAAACATACAACTACTGATCTTCAAAAGCTGAAGGAAAGATGCGTTCAGGAATCGAATTGTCCTCAAGAAGCTCCACGCTTGTTTATTCAAAATGCTTTAGTAGACAAATATAATGAACAAGTATATGAATCATTTACTGATAATAGATATACAATTAAAGCTCAAGATAGTGTTATTGGGGCAGCTTCAGCTGAACTTAAGGAAAAAATAATGAGGCAATACCTTATGTTCCGTTAAGAAATTCTAAACAGTTAGCTCACAAACTAAAACTTGCTGTTGGGCAACGTACAGAAGTTGCAACAAATGTGCGAACTGATGATGGTCTTACAAATGGGGCAAGTAACATTATAAAGTTGATACAGCTCACTGATGTGAATGAACCTTCGGGTCTTATCTGGGTCCAATTTGATTATGAAGATGTTGGTAGAAAAACTCGTCAAGAAAACAGAACGCTTTATGCCAGAGGAATTCAAAGCACATGGACACCAATTAAACCTGTCACAACCCAATTTCCAGTTGATAGAACGAAATCTGCTCAAGTTGTTAGGAAACAGTTTCCATTGCGACCAGCATCAGCAAAAACTGTTCATAGATCACAAGGTGATACTCAAACACAGATTGTTGTAAACCTAAACAGCAACAGAGCTTTTCCTCACATTCATTATGTTGCTTTAAGTCGGGTTACAACAATAGAAGGATTATACATCACTGATCTATGTGAAGACAAGATATCTGTTGACCAAAGAGTTGTCAAGGAAATGGAAATCTTAAGAACCGAACAAAGTTTGAATCTTTGTTTCAAACCACTTTATATGTTGGATCAATCTGATTTGAAAGTTTGTTACCTCAATGCAAGATCTCGCATAAACACATTGAAGATGTTCGAAAAGACATTAATCACTCGTCTATGGATATTGTGATATTTACTGAAACAAGGTTTAACTCCTCAGACACTGACAATATATACAACATTGATGGCTACAGGTTGTTCAGAAATGATGTTTCCCAAGGTACCGGTCCAGGACGTCCATACGGTGGAACAGCTGTTTATAGCCGAGTCCCTTTAAAAGAAGGATACCCTTATACTCCTCACAACGTCAATGGAATCGAGTTTACAATTATTAAAACAGAAAGTAATCCGCATCTAAGTATAATTGGAGTATATCGCTCACCCAGTATTGCTATATCACGTCTACTGTCTTCACTACGTAGCGTACTTGATGAAGATTCTTCTGCACAAAACATTATAATTGGAGATTTCAATGTCAACTTGATGGTAGAATCTGATCGGCAGTCATTCTACAATTTGATGGTTGTACAAAATCATTACAGGCAACTGATAACAGGCTTTACAACCGACAACAGAACGTTAATATAATTGATCATTTATACACAAATTTAATTGAAGAGGAAATTGAAGCTGGTATTCTAGATACCATAGCAAGGTGATCATAAAGCAATATGGGCTTCCTTTAGGACATAGGAATAATAATTATATACCGTTCAATTAAGGTATCGCAAAGATAGCAAGCCATTGTGCCACTGTCAATGTTATTAGGGCAAGCCATTGTGCCACTCACAGTGTGATTAAGGCAAGCCATTGCGCCACTCCCAGTGTTATTAAGACAAGCCGCAGTCCACTGCCAATGTTATTAAGACAAGCCGCTATGCCACTCCCAATGTTATAAAAATAAGTCCTTGTGTGGACGTTGGCTACATTTAGGTAAGTTTTCTTTTTCTCTTTTCCCCTCTCTCTTTCCTGTATTTATGTGTTTAATTGGGTTTTTTTCTTTTTTAGATATCTCTATACATTAACATGGTCACATTAACGATAACTTCATTTAACAAAAGTACTCAAAATAGAACAATTTTGGTATGTTGCTACGTCTTATTAACATCTAGTCATGTCGCGGCAAAAGCTCGGACTGTATGGCTTATGAAATCCATGTTACATTATACATAATTGCATCCACTAATACCGTTGCATTAATATTTACAGATATCAGACGTATACAATAATATGCCTTTCATTTGCTGGCTAACAACATTGGTGGATAATTATATTGAATGATGTATCATCTTATGTCAATGAATATTCCAAAATGAAACAATTCAACTCAGCTACCAGAGTTAAAACGTCTACAGTTGCGTCGTTATGTATTCTGAAAATTCAATGTGGAAGACTTGAAAGTTAAGAAAGATGCACAGTACTTGAAGATACGACTCGTTGGATATTTGTTGTACGGTACATTGCACCTGGCTCTGACACCAAAACATTTTAAAGCGAAAGCTACTCAACGAAGTCGCACGTACAGTACAAAGTCTCAAAGAAAAGTTAACGCGGCAAGGAAGACTTGGTAATTAAGAAAGATGCACAGTACTTGAACAAATACTTTGTTGTACGGTACATTGCACCTGTTCGAATACTCATAATCGAGGCAACAACGTGCGTGAGTACCTGTTATATAAACAATGGACTTGATATGCATCATAATCAACATCTTCAAACTTACACTGGGTAGAAGATGTACTGTAATACGCAATAACACGTGTTCTATTGTCATAGAAAAGTGTGACTCGTCTTTTAGTTTTCACTAGCTGAATGTTCGTTATTTATCATTCACGTTGTCATTGACCATTTTTTGCAAGCTTTGGAAATTGTGGAATGGATTGTAATGAAAGCACTGACTTATAGACGTCTTTTATATATTGAAATATTGACTGTAACCCATACTCTAATTTCAGTTTTGCCTATACAGTAGCCATCGTCCAAAATAAATCTTATTTAATATTGTACTATCTTTGTTTATTATTATTATTATCAAACGTTATCTATCGTTGCATTAGTTTAATAATGAAGTAAGCTTTCTATAGATGTCTCGTGTTAGAAAGTCGTATCTCAAGAAATAATAAAGTTACGCAAAATCGGTAAAAAAGATTAATATACAATTTTAAAAGTTCTTTAAAATGAAATAATAAAAAATATATTGCCGTATCCCTTTAACGTGCACTGAGTTGATATCATCAAACTTAGATTCTTGCTGAGATATCGATTAGTAAATAGTCGAGATTCTAAAGTCTTTAAGTCGAGTTTCACTCCTTCCAACTGAGTGATTATATCTCTGTTTATACAGTTATCAGTATGTTCACATACCTTAGCCTTTGATATCGAACTGCTGTTGCTTACATTTGTTACCTCGTCACATGATTTCGAATGTATTCACGAAGCTCGTCAATTTTCGTTTTAAGTATTTTTCGTTATCAGCCAGGATCATAAGCTTTTTTGAATGACCGTACAATTTTATATTAAATTCGGAATTTGCAGTATTAAACAGCTTGATATCGCCGCCAGGGGATGTCCAATTCCGCTTTAGTTCCAAAGATTTGTCTACAAATTGTTTCAACTCAGATTTTATAGGTCATATTTATACGGAGCACTTAAACCGATACGTCCGCTTACTTCAATGCTCTCCGGGATGGTCTCTATTGCCGAAGCGGACAGAAATGTGTTAAAGTTTCTGTGGGTAGACGACATTTCCGAGGAGAAACCAGAAATCATCGTTCTTCGCTTTACCAGTGTCGTTTTTGGAGTTTCGTCAAGCCCATTTTTACTCAATGCAACCATTGCACACCACATCGGACAGTATGAAACAGTTGATCCCACATTTGTAGAAAGGTTTTTAAAAAACATCTACGTACTTGATGACCTTAGCACTGGAGGAGCGAGAGTGAGTGATACCTATGATTTTTACGCGAAATCTAAGTTGAGATTGGCTGAAGGAGGGCTTAACCTGAGAACGTTCATGTCAAATTCTAAAGAATTAATGAATAAAATCGATGCAAATAAATCCCGATTGCAGATAACTACTGATTCTACGAATAACTCGAATGATACAGCTTCAGTTATGAATACGTCAAGTGATCAAGCTTCAGCCAACAAACTCGTAAACGCAGAAGGTCCAATGAATGCTGTCGGTCTAGAAGGTGAATCGTACACAAAAACCAAATTAGGAAGTGGCAAGCCAAGCATTAACCAAGGAGAGCAGAAAGGTTTGCGATGGAACACCGCGACAGACTGTTTCCTTTTCGACCTAAACAGCCTTGTAGAAAATGCAAAGAATTGCGAACCAACGAAACCGAACGTTGTTAGTGTGGTATCAAGTATATACGACCCTGTTGGATTCCTGTCGCCAATAACAATTCGACTTAAAATCCTGCTACAAGAGCTGCATGAAAGAAAAATAAATCAGTTGGGACGAACCACTAGACGTCACGTCAAAGTCAGCATGGTTCAAATTAGTTGGGAAACTCGAGAAGGTCGAACAGATGGTGTTCCCTAGATGTTTTGTCGTCGGCGTAGAGGAAGAAGTTACGTTGTATTCGCTACACGGGTTCTGCGACGCCTCCGTCAAAGCGTACGCCGCAGTAATTTATCTAAAGATGGAGACATTACATGGTGTATACGTAAGGTCCGTAACGTCGAAATCGAGATAGCCTCCCCTGGCGGGAAAGACAGTCGATTCCACGCTTAGACTGACTATTGTCAGCGCTCGTACTCGCCCGGCTTATCGATAATGTTGAACGAGCATTGAAATCAGTCATAAATCTTGGTCCATCGACATGCTGGACAGACTCGAAGGTCTCGCTGTATTGGATAACACAGCTCGATAAGGAATTGAAACAATTCATTCAACAATTCATTCATTCATTCGGAAACTCACCTCAATTTCATCGTGGAAGCATTGTCCAGGTCAAGCCAGCAGACATTCCTTCAAGGGGAATGGCCGCAAGAGAAATTGTCAATTGTGAGCTTTGGCATCACGGCCCTGGCATGTTATATGGCAAAATGGACGGAGAGGAACATAAAGAGCAAATAATCACGGAAATTCCAGAAGAATGTACGAAAGAAATGAGAATCGCTGACCAAAAGAAATTGGGAAACAACGTTCAAAACTCCCTTTTGGTGGTTGAGGGCGAGAAGACAGAGAAGAGTATTGCTCCGATAATAAACTGTAATAACTTCAGTTCGTTTTGAAGACTGGTCAGAGTTACTGCTCGAGTCTTGAAATTCACAAAGATTCTGAAAAGGAAATGTAAATCGAAAGAATTGACAACCGACGATTTTAAAGAGGCAGAATTGTTATGGATTAAAGAAATACAAACATCTCTAAAGCGCGATTCCAGATACGAGTCTTGGCGGCGACAGTTCGGACTGTTCAGCGACAGCCAACGAGTGATAAGATGCGGTGGACGCATATCGAACGCTGAGATTCAGTACGAAACCAAACACCTGATCATGTTGGACAGAAATCACAGAGTAACACGACTCATCATAGAAGAATGCCACGAACACGTTCACCACAATGGCGTAAAGGAAACACTCACCGAAATCAGATCGAAACGTAAAACGATGTTTGAAGAAGGTACTAAAGAATTCAAAGGTAACATACGATGAACTACTAACCATTGTAACCGAGGTCGAAGATATTCTTATATCAGGGGCCAGTTGTATAAAACTCTTAATCACTTTTTTAATCACTATTTTGCATTTAAATAGTGATTAACTCTCAAATACGCGTTTCTTATTGGATGACGTTTCCACTAACTATAGTTAAATTTAATCACTTTATTATACAACCGGCCCCAGACCGATATATACGTGTCATCCGAAGATATTGAGGAACCGCTTACTCCTTCACACTTGTTGTGTGGTCGACGTCTTCTATCATTACCCAACATTGTCAATGACAACTACGAACAAAAACCAGACCGGTAACCAAACAAGAGCGAGATCGTCCGTAAAGGAGTACATCTGGAAAAAACTAATCGAGCGTTTTGGGAAAAGATGGCGTAATGAATACCTATTGGAACTTAGAGAATCGCATCGCTTTAGAATCAAGAACATTCCACAGAGAAGAGTTGTTCGTGTAGTAGATGTGGTTGTCGTTCGTGATGACACGCCAAGAGTTTAGTGGAAAAACTGAGTCGAAGAACTGATTACTGGAGTCGAAGAACTGATTACTGGTAAAGATGATCAAGTCAGAGGAGCGGCGGTCAAGATTAGTAGCAAGGGAATGAAACCTAGCAGACTAAGAAGACCAATGCAGGCGTTGATCTCGCTGGTGATTAATGACGCAGAAAACGAAGACGCTGAAAGAGAGAACTCATCCATGAAGAGAGACGATCCAGAGGAAACAGTTGAAACATCAAGACCAAGAAGAAAGGCAGCCGTCGCAGCAGATGAACTACGAAAGCAGTGGCTACAACAGCTAAGTTGAACTGTTAACATTTTTTAACCTTTAAAATTTATAGAAGATTAGCTATTATTAAGTTATTAAGAATTTGTTGACATTATGCTGTTGTCGATGACGTTGTATCGATCAAAGGGGGGAGTGTGAGAGAGTTAGAAGTAGAACGTTATGTAAGAACAATACAGTGGCGACGACGAGGAGAGAATATTCAAGATGGCGAACTCAGTAACATTGTATAGTCTGTATATATATGTTTGCGTATATTTTATCATTTATCATTAAAAAAAAACAATCTCAATATTCGGCGGAATCCTTTTTATCCTAAGTCTCTTCAGTTACAGAACATCTTTGAGTGTTAGTTTGGCCTATGTGTTTATTAGTATCCATGAAAGCATTAGACTTGTTCTGCTATCTGACCAAGTTTGAATGAAAAATGTTGAAAATTCGCAGAGTTATTTAATAAAATACATTTCGCTGCAATAAGAAAAACATTGAAAATGTAATATTCAAATTACATTTTCTCCGGAAGATCAGAACTTTACGGCAATTACTGATTTTCAAACGAGCTGTAATTCTCCTGCGAGTTTTAACAAATTTTTCCTATATTTTCGCAAGACATAGCTTTAGACGTCGGTTTCAAAAACGTGCTGTTTGGCTTTTTTCTAATTTTGGATATTTTAATAATAAGGAGCAACACACAAACGATTCAAAATTAACTGCAGTCTTCAAAGAAATCGCCATATCAGCGGAATGACAAAATAAACAAAAATAGGTACGCAGTGCGTACATGTTGCATGCCCTCTCCTCCACAGAGGCTTTTGCCTTTCCACCTGCGCTACTTCGCCCAGTGGCTCCGTCCGTGTTCCAAGATCCGCCATGTAAAGTGTAGTGAAATGTATCTCATCATAATAAATCATAAGACAACTAACGCACAAAATAGATACTGGACCAGAAGTGTCACTCAGACAATATCTTGTCCGAAATTTTACGAGTGCTGACGTGAAAATACACCATCATATGACGCCATCGTCATAGCACATAAAAAATTTCGGATGTTTTCCCAAGCCAAAACACATAGGAGTGTCTCTTCTGGTCAGGTATCTATTCTGTCACTAAAGCCTCTGCGGAGGAGAGTTGCATTCAGGCCGAGTTGCATTCAGGCCGACTTCCATTCAGTGCAAAATATCGGGAGATCAACTTTTTGCAATCACTTTCTTTTGAAACGTGTTGAGTGAACCTGATTAGTTGTATTTCAAAAGAAAGTGATCGCAAAATATTGATCGGCCAACGTTTTGCACTGAGTGGGAATCCGCCTTTATGGTCCGCTTATAAATTTTTGTACAACTGGCCTGAAACTTAAGTCGTCACGAAAATATTTCGTGCACTTAAATTGGATAAGACTCGCTACCAATCCCCGTTGACTCGATAGCTCAATGGGTAGAGCGGCTGTCTAGATACCTGAAGATGCGAGTTCAAATCCCGCTCGAGTCAACGAATTTTTCGTTGGTCGATTGCAGTGTCAGAACAATATGAAACTGGTTTTTCGTATCTCTGAGGATGGTTCTGAAATAGATTTGTATCGTATGACTCTGCAAATGCCAGAAATGGAACCTCGCCATATTCATACGAAACTTTTTTACACGAAAGCGCTTGAATACAAAGAGTATTTTACTCAAATAGCCTTTTAGAAAATGACAAAAAGTTTAGAATATATTCAACTTTTTCAAAATATGAAAGTATAAATATATGATTGTTTCGGTTTGTGTACGGCACTTGACCCCCGTTCGAAAGGTTATTTTGCGCTGATTTCAATGGTGGTTTTCGTTTAAAAGGGGGTAAATACTCACCGAGATATTTTACATTAGAAAAATTGAATCGAAATATAATGCGAAACCCGCGGTCGGAACCCGTCGAGAAAGAAAGTAATCCGTGGAAACGTATACATTGAGTAACAATACTCGTATGATTTTGGCTTAGGATAGTTGTGTATGCCCAAGTCAAGTGTTTTGTTACAAAACAGCCAGCGGTAGAAACGGTAAATTGGTAACCAATTTGCAATTGGTTGGTAATGAGCAAAATACCCCCGCTATAATGGATTAATAATGCAATACTTACCAAGGACCAAACATGATCAACAAGCTTTCTGAAAAATATAAGGCGAATTTCGGTTATCTTTTCATGTCACGCAATCACAAAACCTAATCCAATCCCTAACCTCCTAACCAATCATATTTCGTGACTGCGCGCGTGACATGAAAATGTAGAATTTTCCGACGTTTCCAGAGAAGGAAAAGCGAAGATCCTTCGTCTGGAGCATGGGTGTACGGGAGATAAAAAATTAGGGGGGGG